AAAACTTCTTTCCTTTCCTGGATCCGGGCAAATTGTCTTTGCTTGTCCAGCCCACGCTGGCACTACTGGCCAGAGGCTGCTTGCTCTGGTCATCCCCATCTAAGTTCTCTTCATTTCCTTTGCCTTATTCAACATTTATTTTGTCAGATCCATGTTGTGGTTAATCTAAGATTCATGGCTCAGCTCATTTATGTTATTTGGATAGTGTGAATAAGAGAATTTGATTTTCAGCAGGGATCCCCTCATTAATGCAGCTGGCCTTAAAAACCTCTCTTATCCTTTTTAGTGGAACTCGGCCAGTAACAATACAATCTCGTAGGTTTGGAACTTTTCTATCAACGTCACCTGCCTCCTTCTCAGGAACCATGACATTGATCCCAAAGGACTCACTGCTAGGATGTATTCTTGAACACTGGAACTGTTTAAACTAAATGGGCTTAAGAAGAGAACACTGATATTTCTATGTAATGCTTTTTGGCCTCAGTATTAGCTGGAAAAATAAGAGAAATGGCCTCCCACTGGAACTATGGCCTTTAATACTACACTTCCATTTGATTTGTTTTGTAAGAGAGACGAAAATGAGATAAAATACCATATGTTCGAATATTTTGGCTGTTCAGTCGGGATAAAACCCTGCAACAGGCATGTGCATGTTTAATGAGAGGAAATGAAGAAAATGAACTAGACATACTAGATATTAGTGATCCCTTGATACAAGCCCCCAGAGTTCAGTAAGCATTTCTGAATGGAGCAGAACCTCCTTCTGTCATCTCTGAAGGTTCAGGTGCGTTGACCCTTTCTCCCTCTAGTTGACCTGGAAGTTCTATTGAGACCTCTTTGTCCCCACCTCCTTACCCGCCTAGTCCCACTCTATACCCACCACTCCCTGAGGAACCTAGCCTTGTGAGGACTACTCATAGTGGAGCCTCTTATTAACCTCCAAAGGGAAATCTTTGTCCACTTAGAGAGGTGGCAAATGGGGAAGAAGGCACTGTGAAAGTACATATCCCCGACTGGGTGCAGAGGCTCGCACCTGTAATCCCAGCACTTTGGGAGGCCGGGGCAGGTGGGTCACAAGGTCAGGAGATTGAGATCATCCTGGCTAACATGGTGAAACCCCGTCTATACTAAAAATACAAAAAATTAGCTGGGCGTGGCGGCATGTGCCTGTAGTCCCAGCTGCTGGGCAGGCTGAGGCAGGAGAATGGTATAAACCTGGGAGGTGGAGCTTGCAGTGAGCCAAGATTGCGCCATTGCACTCCAGCCTGGGCGACAGAGGGAGACTCTGTCTCAAAACAAAGCAAAGCAAAACAAAACAAAACAAAACAAAACAAAGAAAACAGAAAACCAAAAAACAAACAAACAAACAAACAAACAAACAAAAAACAAAAAAGAGTACATATCCCCTTTTCTATGTCTGATTTGACTCTATGTAAAAAGAAGTTTGGTCATTTCTCTGAAGATCCAGGAAAACTCATAGACAAGTTTGAGAAATTAACTCTGACTTATAGTTTAACTTGGAAGGATCTGCATGTTCTGTTGTCTCTGTGTTGTACAGTGAAAGAGAAACAATGCATCCTAGGGACAGCTAGGATCCATGCTGATGAGTGAGGACTTAGGGAGGAGAGATCATATGGTCACTTGTTTGTTGGAAGGGATGAAGAAGTGTATGACAAAGCCTGTTAACTATGAAAAGGTTAAGGAAGTTCCTCAGGGTAAAGATAAGGATCCAGCTTTGTTCCAACAGTGTTTAGTTGGGGCTACTAGGAAATATATTAACACAGATCCTGACTCAAGGGAAGGACAGACCCTTTGGGGAGTACATTTTATAACCCAGTCTGCCCCTGATAACTGTAAGAAACTACAAAGCACAGCTATGGGTCCCCAGACACCTATAAATCAGCTTTTGAATATGGCATTTTTTGTTTTTAATAACAGGTACAGAACAGGGGAAGCAGAAAGAGCAAAAAGAAACTCCTACAAGGTGTAGCTCTTGGCTGCAGCCTTAAGCTCACCTCCAACATGAGGTTACCCTTTTGGCTCTTGACCTGAACTAGTGAAGCAAAAAGGTGGAAAGCCCAGAGCTGGGCATCTGAGTTACCATGCCTTGGATATTCATCAGTGTGTATACTGTAAGAAAACTGGCCATTGGAAAAGGGAATGCCCAGCATTCCGAAGGGAGCCATTGGCACCCAAACCAATGATGGCCAAAATAGCCAAGCAAGCCCAAGAGTGGTGGGGCCCAAGACGTTCTTACACACCTCCTGTTGGACAACTAGCCACATCTTCAGAGGAGCCTCAGGTAACCCTTGAAGTGAAGGTAAGAATATTAACTTCCTTCTGGATACAGGAGCTGCTTACTCTGTTTTGACCATTATAATGAGCTTCTGTCACCCCAAAAGTGTATGGTCATGGGGTTAGATGGACAAGCTCACCGATGCCACTTTACCTATCCTGTAAGCTGCCCATCAGGGACTTCGGTTTTCTCAGTTGCCTTTCTTATAATGCCTGACTGTTCCACCCCTTTATTGGGAAGGGATTTGTTGATCAGCTGCAAACAGTGGTACCTTTCGGAAATAACAAAGCAGATGAAAGATTGCTCCTTCTCCTTTTCTGTGATAAGGGAGGAAAGTTAATAGGTGACTTATCTAGCTTACCTATTGAAGTAACCCCCCAAGTAAATCCTATAGTATGGGACACTGAGGTTCCAGGCAAAGCATTAAACAGTCGCCTGGTTTGCATCCAACTTAAGCCTGGTGTCCTGTACCCCTGGAAGAGACAATACCCTTTAAAGCTCGAGGCACAAAGAGGGATTGGACCATTAATAGCCAAGTTTTTGCAATTCTGGTTGTTAAGGCCCTGTGAGTCTGCTTGTAATACTCTAGTCTTGCCAGTTGGAAAGCCAAACTGCGACTATAGATTTGTTCAATAGCTTCAGGCTTTCAATGATGCTGTCATTCCCATATATCCTATAGTGCCCAATCCCTATGTGCTGTTAGCCCAGGTCCCTGGGGATGCTGACTGATTTACAATCTTAGATCTTAAAGATGCCATTTTTTTTGGCATTCCATTACACCCTGATTCATAATTCATCTTTGCATTTGAACAGACAGATCCCAAGTTAATTGAGTCATTTGGTTTCTCAGTTAACTTGGACGGTTCTTCCCAGGGAAGGCTCTCAGGCAGAGCCTTCATCTGTTTGGAAATGCATTGGCTAGAAAATTAAGGCTATTACAATTGAATAAGGTCACTATTATCCAATATGTGGACGATTTGTTGGTTGCTAGCACAACCAAAAGAGACTCGGAAGAAAACACCATTAAGTTGGTAAATTTTCTGGGAGCTAACGGGTATAGGACCTTGCTGCATAAGGCCCAGGTTTCTTCTCAAGAGGTTAAACACTTAGGATATATATCAACCCCTGGCACCTGGGCAATAGCCCCAGCATGAAGGGAAGCTATCCTGGGCATTCCAGAACCCAAAACCAGAAAGCAGCTGCAGGCTTTCCTAGGGCTGGCAGGATTCTGCTGTTTATGGGTGCCTGGATTTGAGCGTATGGCCAAGCCGTTATATGAGGCCCTGAAAGGAGCAGATGTAGATCCTTTTGAATGAGATAGCAATTGTAAACAAGCTTTTAATCCTTTCAAGGAGAAATTTGGATCAGCTCCAGCCCTGGAGATCCCTAATCTTGATAAGCCATTTTTCCTTTATGTGGCTGAAAAACAAGGAACTGCTTTGGGTATCCTTGTCCAGAAGCTGGGAGATATCTCCCTACAAGTGGCATATTTTTCTACAATTAGACCAGGAAGCTTCAGGATGGCCTGGATGCCTCAGGGCAGTTGCAGCAGCTGCTCTTTTGGTAGATGAAGCCAATAAACTGATTTTAAGACAACATGTGGAGGTTTTTAACCCCACATCAAGTACAAGGAATCCTAGAAGCTGAAGGACACCACTGGATGACAGGGGGGTACTTAGTGAAATATTAGGCTTTGTTGCTAGACACTCCTGCTGTAACTCTTAAAGAATGCCAGATTTTGAATCCAGGTACCTATCTGCCTGATCCCACAGGCCCTCTAGATCATTCTTGTATACGAGTTATGGAGTAAGTTTATTCCAGCTGGCCAGATTTAAAGGATGAACCTCTAGATAATCCGGAGCTAGAATGGTTTACAGATGGAAGTTGCTTTATGCACCAGGGAAGCAGAAAAGGTGGGCATGCAGTTGTCAGTCAACACGAGGTAATTGAATCTTAGGCCTTACCAGCTTCTATCTTAGCTCAAAAGGTGGAATTAATAGCTCTTATTAGAGCCTTGCAGTTGGGAAGGGACTTAAGAATTAACATTTACACTGATTTTAGTTATGCCTTTCTTCATGCTCAAGCTGCTATCTGGAAGGGATGGGGACTCTGTCTCAAAAAAAAAAAAAAAAAAAAAGCCACAGACACTTTCTCCAGTGGCACTCGGCCTCCAAGGCTCTGCACGCCAAGCCTGGAAAAAGTGACCCATCCCGCTGGCTCCACATCAGGAAACCACCCGGAGGGTGCACTCTCCCTAGTCTACAGGAGTACCTGAGGCCGTGAGGGGTTCAGCCTTCCCTCCAATGTCAAACAACTAGACAAGAGGGGCCCCGCGGCCATCGGCTCAGGCCTGGAGGCTACTGAGGGACTTCTGGGGTGGCGGTCTCACGGTGCTCGCCGCCATCAGCCCGCCTTACGTCCGGCTCTCATTTCCGACCCTCAGAACAAGGCCCGGACTAACAGCGCGGCCTGCGAGGCTTCACTTACATCTCGCCTGGCAACGGCCCTTACATCGGAACCTCACTTACGACGGCGACCAGGCCAAGGGATCTTCACGTACTATCGGCCGGCGGAAGCTCACTGGGGACCCGGCTCTCACAGGGAACCGCCAGGGGGCTCCACTTCCGTCAGGGGGCTCCACTTCCGTCAGGGTGAGCCTCGGAGATGCGACCGTGGCTTCCGCCAGGGCGCCCTGGCCACTTACGTGAGGGCCCGCTGTCGGGCGACGATGCACTCGGGCCGGCCGCCGCGGAACACCAGGCGCGCGTTGGACTGCACCCACAGCCAGCGCCCCTGCTTGGTGAGCAGCCGGAACACCGTGAGCCCGCTCTCGCCCGTCCTCATCACTGCAGGAAGACAGACGAGGCTCGTGTCCGACGCCGCCGCCCACCACCCCGCTCGGAGCCCTCGGGAGCCGGCCCCGCGGGAGGTGGGGAGGAGCTCCGGGCAGGGTGCAGGGGTCTAGCCCGCCTCCCACGGGGCAGTGTGAGGCCCGCAGGGCGCCTCTGGAACTCACTTCGCACGTGGTTCTCGGCGCAGTACATCATGTCTGCCGCGTGGATGAACTGGTAGCCAGATCCCCCCCTGCAGAGCTCGCTGTCGGTGTAGCCCAGAATCACCTTCCCTCTGTGTAGAGGAGACACCGCACATCCTTTTATTTCAGCCCGGAAGCGGAATGCCAGAAGGAATGAAGAGTCACTGCCCCACCCCACGCTTTGCACAGCTCCTCCCAGTTCTCATTCACAGTTCTCACCGAGCCAAGGAGGAACCTTAGGGCCCCCTCTGGAAACCCAGGTCTGGGAAGGGCACCCCTCCCCCCATCAGCACGGCTGGGGCGAGAACTTTAAGGGGCTGCCACACTGAAAAGATTGTGGTGTCCTCTCAGACACTTTTGCCACACATGCAGTTTCAGAATTCTGCTTTAAGCCTGTTTTTATTTGCCTGTGGTGTAGAGCAAGCGTTCTTGTCCTGGAGTAAAGAGAATCCCTGAAACTGTACACAAAATTGTGCTTGTGGGAGAACAATTGGAATTTCTGTTAAGAAGTTCCACAGCTTTCATCAAACGGGTGACCATTATCTTAGCAGAAAAGGTAAACCTTGCAAGTCATACTACTTGCTCTTAAGCCAGTGTTTTCTAGACTATGTTCTAAGAAACACTGATATTGTTGCATGTTAGTTGATGGTCGCCCAAGAAGGCTTCCATTGTTAAATAAGTTTGAAAAAAAAAAAAAATGAATCGAACTAATTAGATTTCTTCTTAGTGGGACTTCTTGGGGCTTTGCTATGATCTGTTAATGGAAGTCTCCAAGAAGGAGATAAACTTTTCCCAAGATTTACTCTCCGTATCACACTCTCACTCAAATGCTGTATCTTACATGGAAGATTTGGTACATTGTCTCTCTAAACACAGCATATTTTCTACTGACTCATTTCACGAAACCTATTTGGACAGGACTAGCTAATTATTCGTGCTTTGCTTTGGTTCTAGGCTCAGGATTTGCGCCATAACTAGTCTTGAAGCACTACTCTAAGGGTCATGATTTTCAGTCAGAGGGATATACCTGGAATCACAGGCTATAGGTGTGAAATCCAATTTGTGTTTTGTTTGGAAAATAAATGTTTTGTTTTGGAGCTCCAGGATGGTGAGAGGCTGACGAGGTGTTGCAGTGGCAAACAGGGTAAGGTGAGGAGACAGGAAGGTGCCGTCTTCTGACTTAGTGTTCTGCCCAGGGAGGAATTTGAGATGGCCCTGGAAATTCAATTCCTGGAAAAAGAAAACCGCAAACATAATGAGCACAGAAGGTAAGAGGATGTTAAGTAGCTAAAACTGTATAGAACTTGCCCCCTTATGGAATTCAGAGGAGTCCAGTATCCTGCTGGGAGCCAAACAGGCAGAGCTCTCCTTGAACCCCCAACATAGCACAGGTGTTTGCAGGCCTAGAATCTAATTCTTCTGGCCTGCCCAGCAGGCACTCATCATTTTTCATGGCTCCTCAGCCCTCCCTCAGGGCCCTGCCCCATACAGCCCTTTTCCCAAAGCTGCAGAGCATAGTGTTAGTTAAGCTGTGAGGGGATATACAATTCCAGGTGATGGTGAAGAAGATGAATGTTAACATCCTGAGTTCACCAGGGACGTAGGGCTGTACCAGAGGTAACAGGTGTATCTGAATCCTAAGTAAACATATCCCAAGTCTTAACTAGGCAGAGGAAGTTTCAAAAGACAACTGCATCTTCAACAGGCTGACCCTCTGAAATGTTAGTGAGCTGAAGGCCTGCGGACCCTTCCTGGGGTGGTGAGGAGGCTAGGCCCAACCTTTGGGCAGTGTTCCACCTGAGCAGACTTACATACTGGTTTTGCGAGTCCTGACCCTGTAAAGACAATATGTTTACCAGAAACCCAGAAGAATTGTCCAGCAGGCAGCGGAACCGACAGACAAAGCTTCTCTCCAGGTAGCAAGGGTCTTCCAAGGGCAGATGCTGAACGCTGGCAGGAGGGGTGCCACTAAGTGGGAGGGAACTCTCTCCAGGCAGAGCTGGAAGGACAGAGACACACACTGAGGAGACTCCACCAGTGCAGCCATCGTCACAGAGGTGAAATACTATAACTATGGAAGCAGCTGGTGGGTCAAAAAATGGGTCACAAGCCCTGTGGCCAAGTGAACTGTGACCTTCACTTGGCTGGATGACTTTGATCAGCCACTCAGGCTGGATTTCTCACACATCACATGATGCTGGTAGTCCTTCCTGCCTGCCTTCCTTTGCCATGTCATGAGGACCAAGATAAAAATGGGATGATGCACTGTAACATATATATCCATCCATTGGTTACCCTGTTGGCTCCACTGTTGAGCTAGAGCATAGAGCCAACCACTTGTCATCCCCTTCACCTCTACTGTGCTGGTCAGTTTCCTTGTCATGAGATGAGCAGAACATTATGGTGAACCTGGACCCAGACTGGAGCCTCACTTGTTTTGTGACTCTGGTTAGGTTATTTAACCTCTCTATGGGCCTCAGTTTTCTCATCTGACTTAATAAGGTTGCTAGGAGAATTAGACAACTTTATATACGTAAAGCACTTGGAATAGTACCTAGTACATTATAACCTCTATAAGACTTGGCTGTTACTATCATTTTTTTTCTTGTCTTAACTTTGTCATTGCATTCCAACTGGTATCCCTGCATCTACCCTTGCACCCTACCATCTGTCCTTCACTCAGCTGCCATAGCGACATAAAATATGTCACATCATGTCATTTATCTGCTTAGAACTCTCCAGTTACTTCCCACCTGAGAGTCTTCATAGTGGCCTGAGAGGCTAACCTAATATGCACTCTCAACCCTGCAATCTCTTACCAGTCTTCCCTTCACTTTGTGACCTCCCTGCACTCCTTGGTATTCCATAGCTATGCTAAGTGCACTTCTGCCTTAGGGCCTTTGCGCCCTTGCCAGTCCTTCCACCTGCATTGCTCTCCCCCAATTTATCCATACCTCTTTATTTTTAATTGACAAGTAAAATATGTATATATTTATGGTGTAAAACTTTTGATATATGTATACATTGTAGAATGGCTAAAGGAAGCTATTTAACATATGCATTACCTCACATACTTATTTTTGTGGCTATCCATACCTCTTCAAATGATAGTGTGCCCATCCAGTAACTTTTCTCTTTCCTTAATTTAGTTTCATCTTGGCACTTCCCCACCAGAAACATTACATATTTATTCATGTCTTTATTTTTGGCCCCCTTACCCCATTGAAATTTAAGATCCATCAGAATAGGTACTTGGTCTATTTTTCTCTCTACACTGTGCCTAGAACATAACCTGGCACATAATAGGTGCTCAGTAAACATTAAATGGAAAACTGAACCAAGTGTGGTAGAAGTGATAATTTTCTCCTTCTCATTTTCTAGAGTGAATGTCAGTTACTGCTACTTCAGCAGGAAAAGAAAACATTAGGCACAGAAAAGTGACTGGATAGTCTCTCTTACCAGGAAAAAACCACTTTTGTGGAGAATGCTACTTTCATCTTTTTTGGAGTGCTGATTCAGCCTCCTCTCTTTCCCATCCGAGGAATTTGTAGAGAAGTCCTCTCAGAGAGTAATAAGAGGAAAGTCAAATTCTTGGGGTTAAAAATGAAAGTCTCATTTATGCCTCATTAGAAAGTCAAGGATGCAAAACCCAAATTGTTTTGCTATAATTCTCAATGTGACAAGTCTGATTATATGTACACGGATGGTTCTCCCTGTGTCACATAAAAATTTAATTCATCTAGACTCAAGTTTTGTGGAAGAATAAGATGAAAGCAAGCTTGTAATAGATTAGCAATCCTAAATGTTTTCATGGGAGGGATGAAGGGAAGAATTTAATCAGAGTCTGGTAAGTTTTACTACTGTTTCTTCTTAATCTGATTTAATAAGGCCCTTAGCACAGTGCCTGGCATGTGGTAGACCCTCAGTAAATGTTGGAACATATACACATGTGCATAAAGTGTACATCAACTGGAATTTGGGTTAGATGGAGTGGTCTTTAGATGGTTTCTGGCATGTTTATAGCACTGTGATGAAGGTTTTACTTGTATTTCGAGGACTTGTTTATAGCACTGTGATGAAGGTTTTACTTGCATTTCGAGGACTTGTCATGCACACATAGACATGGAGGTAGATTACTGCATAGTTTCTGCGACTGTGGCAGCATAAGGGTATAAAAGGAATTAAAAATGTGAAATTTTATGCAAAATTTCAGAATATTCACTGTTAAGGACGTAATTCAAACTTGCTGCTGTCAGGATGTGTGCAAAATCCTGCAAATTGTGACATTCACAAATGTATTTTGACTATGGTTTAAAATACAGGAAACTCTTCTTAAATGGGGATGAAAATTCCAATTGGGGTGGAAAAAAGAATGAAAGATTCCAGGGAAGTGAAATCAAGGATTATAATGGTACATTGTAAATTTACCTTAGGGCTTGCTGCCTCAGAGTATATTTATGCCTTACATATAAAATAAGGCATAAATAAAAGTGATAGTATTTCATACTTGACTTCAAAGTGCTAGAAATGAAGTGAGATAATTTGGAGTATTGTTGACCTCACTATCTTTTGAACAAATGCCAGAACTGTTAGGGCATAGCTATTCAATTTATTTAACAGAAAACCTGTTGAGTTACTACTAACAGTGTTTTAAGTTTTCTCAAATATTTTAGATTTATGTATGAAAATATAGTTGGAACACGAAGTTACTAGTTTCTTTGAGAAAGAAATGAATAAACATAAGGAACCACTAAGTTAGACACAGTAACAATGTAGGACCTAGTGAGGGGTGAGGATACTGGACTGTTGGTGTTGTGTCTTGACCTTAGACTACTTGGGTGGCAGAGATCCCCACTCTGCTCCGATGCTTTGTTTCTAGAACTCTAACACAGAGGAGTTGGAGTAGGTGCCCACTCCACTCCCACAGCCCAGTCTGAACTTCAGACCTCTGTTCCTTCCCCTCAGACCCCTGACCAGTCAATGTGGACAGGGTGGGACACAGAATGAGTCATCACACAGAGGTGCAAAGCTCAATGCTGAGGATAAGGATCCTGACTGACTTCAAGGAGCTGAAAATCTGATGGGGGGTGAGGAGGAAGAAAGTAAAGATATATTTTGTGATAAGTAACCACCCAGTTGACCTTAGGCTGGTTGAGAGAGTCTTGTGTGGAACTTCTAGAGAGGAAGCAGCTTTGGAGAAAGATGGATTAAAATTTTCACAGTAGTCAAAGTTGATCTGAATTAAAGCCAAGTCTCCAGAAGTCACACAACTATACTTATAGTGAGCGTTGTAAGTTCATTTTTGTTTAATATTTTAGACTCCCTATCATGAAAAAGACATCATTAGTGTGCAGATATTGGCGCATGGCTTCATTATCTTTCTTCGTCAAACCTCCAGTTTTGAGTATTCTTTTCTGATCATCATTCGCAACAAAACAGCAAAGAGCCTTTCCTTCCGTCCCATGTGGGTGCATAAAATGCACTCTAAATCCCTGGAGAAGGGACCTGTGTCTGTGCTTACAAAATGGCATTTACCTGTAAATAACAATATTGCCTGTTGGTGAGTGTCTGTGGTTTCCCACCAGCCAATGGAGTAACACACATCTAGGGCATAATGGCCACCCACCTGTGTGCTCATCAGATACACAGATGTGAGACTCTTGGCCACCTGAACACGATTTAGGGGATGCAGGGCATTTCCTCCAGTGCGAGTCCTGCCAGATGGACCCATATGGGCAGCGTCAATCTCCTCATCTGTACATTCATTCATTCAAGCAACTAATATTTACTGAGTCACTGTGTGTCAGGTACTCTGCTAGGCACTGAGGATATATCAGTAAACAAGACATCAAAAATCCCTTCCTGCATCCTATTGGTAGTAAACACAACAGAAATTCATGCCACATGTATGTTTTCCAGTTAACAGAGGACCAGATGAGTTCAGAGATATGAGAGATTCTAAAAGATGCAGAGTCCTGTGTCAGCACATACTACTTCATTCTTGGTTCATCTCGTCATCAAGGACATGGAACTGAGTCAGTGTTGTTATGCTTTCTGAAATAGACCCTCCAGCTGAGAATGTCCAGCTCCCTAGTCTACTTTCCTTCTCATGGACTTCAAGGGTTGAAACATAGGTACAGGGTTGATTTCATTTCCACCCCAGTTTCCTCTGAGATGGTGACTTACAGCTGGTGTCCGGATCTGCTTCTCTGCTGACTGATGCTGTGTCTGGAGGCCAGCGTAACTGGCTCTGGAACATGGCTCTGTCCTCCTTGTGGATCAGCTCGAACACACTCTGGTAGATGACATCTGACTACAAAGACCAAGGGGCAGAGTCATACTCCTAAAGATTTCTTTCTTTTTTTTCTTTTTTAAATTTTTTTATTTTTTGAGACGGAGTCTCGCTCTGTCGCCCAGGCTGGAGTGCAGTGGCCGGATCTCAACTCACTGCAAGCTCCGCCTCCCGGGTTTACGCCATTCTCCTGCCTCAGCCTCCCGAGCAGCTGGGACTACAGGCGCCCGCCACCTCGCCCGGCTAGTTTTTTGTATTTTTTAGTAGAGACGGGGTTTCACCGTGTTAGCCAGGATGGTCTCGATCTCCTGACCTCGTGATCCGCCCATCTCGGCCTCCCAAAGTGTTGGGATTACAGGCTTGAGCCACCACGCCTGGCCTCACTGAGTTTCTTTAAGATCATTATTTTGAAATCCATTTTAGACATTTCTAGATTTACTTTTCTTCAAGCTCTATTACTGGAGAATTATTGTGTGTCTTTAGAAGGGTCAGTTTTCTTCTTTTTAATGCATCTTGTGTCCCTACATTGATATCTGTGCATCTGGTATAACAGTTGCTTCTTCGAATTTTATAGGGTAGCTTGGGGGAAGACTTTTTTCTGTAGATGTATCTATAGTATAATGTGGGTAGGACACACTGGCTTTGGTTCTGGTTGGGCACGGTAGCATAATCTCTATATTTCTTTGGCTGCAATCAATGTCAGTGGTGTCTATGAGTTCCTCAGTGGCTTACAAAGGTTGTTTCTGAAGGCTGTGGCAAGGCTTTACTGGTGGTGGGGATGCTAGTGGACCAGATCTCTGGGTCCTGATGGGCACTGGTAGTGGTAGTGGTCAACTTTGGGTGGGCCATTCCTTGGGCTCCTGCGTGATGAGTGCAGGCACATGGCAGCTCCACTGTTAGAGTGGACAGGATTGCTGGTGGTGGTGATAGTGGGCCCCAGAAAGACCAGTTCTGGGCCCCCCAGGTGGTGCATGTGGGTGCCAATTGTCGTGGTGGTGGTGGGCCCTGAGCAGGTTGGTTTTCTGGCCCCCAGCAGCCCATGTGGACACCAGCTATGGTGGCAGCTGGCCCTAGGCAGGCTAGTCCTTGGGCCCCTTGGCTGTTGCACAGGTGCTGGCTATGGTGGCAGTGAGCCCCAGAAGGGGTGGTCCTTGAACCCCAGATAGTGTGCATGGGGAGCTGGTGGTGGCAGTGGTGGGCCTGGATGAGTCAGTTCTTGGGCCCCCTGGTGACCCATGCTGTCACCAGTGGTTCTGACAGCAGGCCCTAGGTGGTCCAGTCCTCAGCCCCCAGGTGGTATGCATGGGTGTGCAGTAGGCCCACTGCTGGACATTGTGGGATGGCTGCTGGTGGCAGCAGCCTTGAGCAGATGGCTCCGAGGCTTTGGGGATTGCCTTCTTTGGCTCTGTATGAACTGAGAGTAGCCCTTCTGATGTGCTGGACTGCCTGTTCCCCAGTGTGTAGGGTGCTGATAGGTTCAGGTGCCAGGGATGTGGCCCACCTCTGCGTCTAGCTAGTACTGCAACACTGCAGCCCTCTGGGTGGATACAGGGGGATGTTAGTGGGGCCTGTGATGTGGAGATGCAGAGGCTACTGGGCCCCAGGGCAGGATGTGGTCTGGTAGTGGCTCTACTCTCAAAATGGTGCTGGGTTATAGCAGCTCGGGTTCCAGGGCTAGGTGGGACCCAGAATGAATTCCTTCTCTGGAACGATGCTGTTGTGTGGACTCCAAGCAGCTCCCTATACTAGGCTAAGGGCCTGTGAGGGTTGAGGGACTTTCCTGTAGCTAGGATTGCCAGTATCTGTGGTGGGAATGCAGACTGCTGTGGATCTCCTGCTTACCTTTTCCTGGCAATGGACAATCCCTCCTTTGTCTGAGCCCATCCCAGCTGGGTGCTTTACTTACCTCTCCATGCTGCTGTTTTGAGTTTCTGCACTTCAGAGGGTCATTGTCACTTTCCTGCTGAATTCCATTGTTCTCCCTTAGGTATTTTATTCAGTATGTGATTATCTTCTTGCTGTTTTGGTCTTTCTTTGTGGAGGAGGTGAGTGGTGAGTGCCTGTAGTCAGCCAACTTGATGATATCTCCTATTGCTATAGAATTTTAATAAATCCTTTCCACTGCATGGCATTCTTGGTGTATAAGGTGCTTGCGTATGCATTGCTGTTATTCAGTCTGCACAACGGTACTGTGAGGTATGGAATATCTTCCCTCAGTGGTGGTAGTTAAAATGCAGATTTCCAGCTGCAGGGAGTATAACTAAGTCATGCCCTCAGCTGCTGCACTCTGAAATGCTGTGGCTTTAAGACAAGCATGGTCCTGGTAGACACAGGACTTCTCTATGGGAACTCTGGCTTGAGGGCTCCCCTTTGGCCTTGTCAAACTTCCTTAGAGCTGTACTACAGTCTAAGACTTTCCCATGTAACCTTCCTCTTCCATCCCTCCTTCCTTCACAAGGGCCAGATCTGCACTTCTCAGGACTCAGGATTTCACGCCCTAGTGAGGACCCCAGAAAATGGGGCAAACTCATTGCTGGGGTAGCTGCTAGAGTTCTGGGAAAAGCCAACGGTTGGCAACATGGTAGTACCTGAGTTGTCCTGGCAGATGGCAGAAGAAGGAATAAAGGGGCTGAGAGAAAGGTGTGTGCTGGAATAAATGCATTTTATGACTCCAGAAGACCCATCAGAAATTATAGTTCCATGGGAGGGCCCAGGAGCCACACCACTCTCCAAGGCCGTCAGGAGTGCAACGGGAAGGACACCAGCGTCACTGTGAGGTCTGGTGGCAGGCAGCTCTTCTGTGCAGCTCAGCACTTTGGCAGGAGAAGCAGCCACAGAGTTGGGCTCATTAATATCCATAGAGACAGTGGAGCCCTAAAGTAATAGAGGCCAGGTGGTGGCACTTGCCTAGCAGAAGCCAGCAGGCTGCAATTACAGTGACAACTGGCAAGGCTGAGGCACAGCCAAGAGGCTTGGCCCATAGGGAGTGGTGGAGGTGGTTAACAGAGAGCGGGGCCCCTAGGGGCAGAAGAGATGGCAGCCAGCAATAATGCTGCTTAACAGAAAAAGAGCCAGCATGGACGTTAGAAGGCTGAGGGCTTTTGCCTCAGTGAAAAGTGGCAATCTCTTGCTCAGTTTTGAATCTGAGACAATTTCCAGACCTGTAATTCATTGACTGAAGATCTGGCAGGGTCCCTAGGAGTAAGAGCACTGAAATACCATGGCAAGACATTCACTCAGGTGACCACACCTTCTGTCCAACAGATGAAAATATCTGGATATTCTCCTTCCCCCCACTGTACGGTCACCTGAGTAATATCTGCAGGTGCATTTAGGGAATCCTCACAGTACATAGCTGCCACTGTAGCTACTCTGCCTACTGCCCATCGTGCTAGTTCTGGGGCAGCCAGTGATGGAGGTGGGCTCATGCCACGTGGCCCAGTCATCCTGCCTGCTTGGCTGAGTAGTGCCTTTTCTACGGGGGCTTCTTTCTGTGAACACTGATGAGTGAAACAAAAATCTTCACCCTTGGCACCCACTCTCATACATTCAGCAACATGCCCTATTTCAGACATCCTTGTCTCTGATCTTCCTGCTTTTTCCTTCCAGGCCCCAACGTGACAGACAGACCACTGGCCACTGCTGAAGAATCTAGATACATTTGCATTGTGGCTCACATCTCCCTCCACATGAGGCTGACGACCAGGTGCTCTGCTCTCACCTCTGTCCCTTCAAAGCTGGCAGCCTTCTTTCACTTTGGAGGGGACCTGACCACTGGACCCTGAAAAACTTCCCCAAAGTGCAGCTCTCTGCGTTTTAATAGGCTCATCTGCCTCCCACCGGGGCAACCATGTCTCGAGGCCTGCCCTCCCTAATCTCCTCTGGCTCCTCCTGCCCAATCAGCATATCATTGTCACTGTAAATGGTCAGTGTCATTCCTATGGGATGTCCAGGTCTCCTCAGATTGTGTTAGGACACAGGGGAAGGGTTAACATGGCCTTGAAGCAAATGTTTAAATGAATATTTTCTGTCCCACATGAACATGGTTTTTTTTCGGATTTCTCTTTAACTGTAGTGGGAAAGAATACATTTGCCAAATCACTGGCCACATACCGTGCACCTGAGGGCCTGTTAATCTATTTGAGCAGTGATAGTATGTTCTGCTCACAGCTGAAATCAGGCCTACGGTTTGGTTACATCTAAGCAGTCTAAAGTAATCACTGGGAACCTTCCGTTTCTTTAGGGCCCACATGGGGGAATCCAATGGAAACACTATGGGTCCAGGAACTCTGCGTTGTTTAGGCTTTCATGATGGCCTGCTTTCTGCCACCTCCCTGGGCATGACTTACTATCTTGGTTTCAGAGATTCCCCTTGGCTTTGTCCACTATGATGCTTCTGACTCCACAGGTCAAGGATCCAGTGTGGAAGTCAGTCCAACTGTCAATCAACTATATTGATCCCAATGATAAGTGCAGGGAATAGGTCGGTGACCACTGGGTGGGTCCAGGGACTCTGTGGGTTTGTGTTGGCCAGACTGTAGCTTGCATTTCATTTATTTTCTGGCCCCCAGCAGCCCCCACCCTGATGTGGGGGCCACAATGACGCTTTGAGTGTCTGTGCTCAGACCCACAGGAATGAACATTTGGGTCACACCCAGGGGAGCCATCAGCACATGCTAACGTGAGGCTGAGGGTAGGTGGGTTCAGAACAGGGGTTGGGGAGGGAAAGTTTGCTACCCCGAGATCAACTGCACTGACTGGGGGCTGCAGTTTGCCCCACTAACCTCTCCTTTTTGGGCTTCCCTCAGGAAGAGAGACTCACGGGAACCGAGGAGGGAGGAGCTGCTCCGCACACCCACAGGGAGAACTCGCTCTCAGTTGCGGAAATGTGCCCTAGGCTCTGACTGTGGCGCTCGTGCCTACTACACCTCATGGCTCCACCACCGTGTTCAGGGCCATGATCCTGCAGTGTCCCCAGCCAGTGACTGAGTATGGCAGGGACACCAAGGCCGGCCTGTTCCCAGGGGACTCTGATCGCCTCTGATGGGCAATTCGGGATTAAGAACTTCCCATCAGCCTTGCCGAATTCTCTTAGAACTTCCAGCCGTACACATTTCTCCTCTGTCTCCTGCCCAAGGGCCAGACCTGCGTGGAAGTGTGGCAGCTCCCCTGTCCACAGCTGCCTCCCCGTGCTCTGCTCCTCAGAAGATGCTCCCTGAGGAATCTCGCTCATCTCATCCTGTGTGGCATCTGCTTCTTAAAGGACCTGGCCTAACATGCCCTCCAACAGGTGAGGAAGCCGGCGTGTCGGGAAGGTTCATTTCTAAGACATACAGAGTGTGTGCAGGAGGGACTGAGACTTCCATTATAGCCCCTCAGAGACCAGGCTGCATATGGCCCATGGCCCTGTCCCTTCCCCAACTCACTCACTTCCCTGAAATGAAACAAAACTGCTCACTTGATGAAATCCCAGGTAGTCCTGGACTGTGGGAGAGACGTAAAAGATGTAGCCATCCTCTGTGACTGCCATGAGGAAGCCGTTGAGGGCCTGGGGAGAGGCAGAGAAGAGAGTGCGTTCAGACTGTTTCATTAATTTGTCTCGCTTCTGGGCATGTGGAGCTCCTGAAGGCCCCGGTCCAGGCCCTGGGTGTTTCTGCGGAACTACGTTGGCATTGACTGCCACCACATCCTGGGCTGTCCCTTCCAAAAGCAGGGCCCAGGGCACCCTCAGAAAACGGGAGGGTGGGGAGTGAAGGCTGTCCAACTCTTACAGAGGATGACAGGAAGCCTTACTTTACCTCAGATGGGTTTGAGGGAGCCCAGAACTGAGAGCATCTGAGGTTCTGTGAGGCGATAGAGAAAAAAAGGTTTGTGTTTCTGTATGGTTAGGAATGCTGGGAAAATCAGAGTGAAACTTGGGACCTGGGCTAAAAGAGCAGCAAGCTGCAGAAGTTAATTCACAACTATCGCTTGTGAGAACTCCAAAGAGATTTCTGGCTCTGGTGGTATTTGTTATTTCATTTTTTTTTTTCTTTTTTTAAGAGATGGGGTCTGGCTCTGCTGCCCAGGCTGGAGTGCAGGGGCATGATCCTAGCTCACTGTACCCTCAAACTCCTGGCCTCAAGGGATCGTCCTGCCTTGGTCTCCCAAAGTGCCGGGACTACAGGGTTGTTTACATTTCAAGGGAGGCTGAGACCCAGGAACATGGAGACATCCTGGGTTATAAATCTGGAGACAGAAGGTCTTATCTTTCCCTTGGGAAGATCTATTTCATTCTAAATGGTTAAAGTAATAACTCAGGATCCTTTTCAAGGTTTTTGTCCCTCCTTTCAGTAGGGGAGGGAGAAAATATGTATATGAATGCCCAAATTTATATTTCTGCATTTCCTGCAAGCTTGATGAGTAGGATAACCTCTGCTTTCATTGCATTGTCTAGAGGTAAGGAATGGGGGCACAAGAGAACCAAACAGTTCTTGTTTGGTTATAAGTAAATAATTCTTGTTCACTTGTCAGTAAATAATAATCTGCTCTGCTCTTGTGTGTACGTTCAGGGTTATGGAAACAAATGAAGACCAACCAAATGAGAAAAGCAAAGGCTATTTCTTCAGAGCTTTCTAGAGTAAGGGAGTCAGCCACTGTCACTTTTTGCATTTTGGCAAAGACTTCAATGCAGGCAGAGGAGTGGGAAGTTTTATAGAGTAAAAAAAGGGAAGGTTTTAGGGGTGCACTGATTACAGGCTGCTCGTGGGGGAAGCTGTGGAATCATGAGCTCACTGGAAATGGGCTTCCTGTGTAGCAGCGTAGGCTGCACATTTGGCTTTCTCTGGTTGGTTCTAAGTTGGAAGCAGGGACAAAAATCAGGGAAGCTGTCAGTTATTAATGAAGTCCTGGCCATTTGGGGCCAGTTGTTGTAGAAGTTATTGTTTAGCTTCCTGGTTTGTTATTGGAGATGGTCTTACCTCCTGTAAATCTGACTTACAGCAGGCTGGCCTTCTGGGCTGTTCATTGTAGACAAGGGACTGGTTTCCTGTGCAGGCTGTGGGTCAGAGTTCTGTTTTTATATATGGTCTAGCCATTGTTTGTTTGTGTATTCAGTCTCTCAGAGTAATATTAATGAAGATAGATATTTAAAGCTTAGCCATTTTCCTTCCCTGGTAAGATTTAAGAAGTGATTTCCTGATGAGTCTTGGCAGAGGGTGCCTGGGACATATCAGAGTGCTACCCCAGCCTAGAATGGGCAGGAGAGCTTGATGGCCCTGGGCCGTGAGGATACTAGTGCTCAGGAACAAGGGAAGTTATCAGGGTCTGCATGGATGCACATCCAGAGAACAGGAAGGGAGCATGAAGCCTGCAGAAATGGCCAGCACCCTGAACAGGTGCCTTCCAGTTCCCAAACCTTGTCACCATGCAGGTCTTCATGAACTTAGATCAGTTTCAAGAAAGAGGGTAGGAACTCATGAATTGATAGAAATTTATGTTTCCACTTGGAAAAATAAAGTCTTAAAATGTTAAGTTATAGAAGAACAGAGAAAACTATGGTTCTTGCATGCCTCAGTGTGTGACTTGAGATGGTCACACTGCCTTAATTATAATAATGATAACAACAGTAATAAAAACAGTAATGATAATCATGTTGAAACACATTACATTCTCCTTTAGTATTATAGTTTTACTATATATCTATCATTATAATGATTCCTTTGTGTACATCCTCAAATCCTATGTTCTCTTGATTCACTGAACTCAATCAGGATTTGTGACTGTGTACCTCAAATGGCCCCTAATGCCACCCATAAATCCTGATACATTTCCCTGGTGCACTCACTTTCCCATTCTCTTAGATGACTGTTTCACATCATTTTCTCTGAAACCATCAATACCTCCTGCTTTCTCCTTATACTCAACTTTGCTTACTATTTCTCTGAAAAGAAAATGCAGTCAGAACTTCTACATACTCCCACTGATATGGTTTGGATCTGTGTCCTTCAACCAAAAATAAAACTGTAAGCCCCCCAACCATCTAAATGGACCTCTCCTCTTGGCCAAGGGTATTCCAAAGTTAACCTGTAAAACTAGTTTAGGCCATGATGGGAATGGGAGGTTGGACATACCTCTTTACCGTTAATATCAACACAGACCTTAAGACTGATAGAACAGACTCTTTAAGTCTGATAGGAAACATTTACCATCTATTCTCTTTGAAGCCTGCTACCTGGAGGCTTCCTCTACGTGATAAAACCTTGGTCTCCACAACCCCTTATTATAACCCAGACATTCCTTTCTTTTGATTCCAGGTCTTTAGATGATAACTCAAGCAGCTGCCAATCAGAAAATTTTTGAATCCGTCTATGACCCGGAAGCCCCCAGTTCCAGTTGTCCCGCCTTTCTGGATTGAATTAATTGACGTCTTAAGTCTCCCTAAAATGTATAAAACCAAGTTGTAGGCTGACCACCTTGGGCCCATGTCATCAGGACCTCCTGAGGCCGTGTCACAGGCGTGTCCTTAACTTCGGTTAAATAAACTCCTACATTACTTGAGACTTGTTTCAGATACTCTTTGGTTTACAGTCTCCACCCAAATATCAGGTGAACTGTAATCCCCAGTGTTGGAGGTGGGGCCCCGTGGGAGGTGACTGGATCATGGGGGCAAATTTCTCATGAATGGTATAACATCATCCCCTTGGGGCTGTCCTCACAAGAATGAGTGAGTTCTTAGGAGATCTGGTTATTTAAAAGTGTGTGTGGCACCTCCCTCCTTGCCCTCTTGCCCCTGCTCTGGCCATGTGACATGTCTGCTCCCCCTTTGCCTTCTGCCATGATTGTAAATTTCTTCAGGCTTCCCAAGAAGCTGAGCGAATGCCAGAATGTTGCTTCCTGTACAGCCTGCAGAACCGTGAGCCAATTAAATCTCTTTTCTTTATAAATTACTCGATCTTGACTGTTCCATTATAGCAGTGAGAGAATGGAGTAATACAGCCACCATCTCTCCTACCTGTTTTATAGGCTCTGCTTCACCTCTTGTTACAATGCGTGAACTCTCCATGCTTCAAACTAAGCCCAACCCCTACATCCCAGTTGCGTAGGCAGTTATAAGCAATGTAAATATATATCTTAATACTGTTATTCCTAGTTATATGGAATGGTAGAAGGAGAATTTAAACAATTAAGCAGTTCTTACATAGGAAATATGAGAACAATGCAGAATAACAAATAAGTAAAACTGATATTTAAAAGTAACTACAGGCTGTGTATGGTGGCTCACACCTGTAATCCCAGCACTTTAAGAGGCCGAGGCAGGCAGATCACCTGAGGTTAGGAGTTTGAGGCCAGCCTAGTGAACATGGTGGAACCTCGTCTCTACTGAAAATACAAAAATTAGCTGGGTGAGGTGGCGCATGCCTGTAGTCCCAGCTACTTGGAAGACTGAGGCATGAGAATCGCCTGAACCCAGAAGGCAGAGGTTACAGTGAGCCGAGATTGCACCACTGCACTCTAGCCTGGATGACAGAGCAAGACTTGTATAAAAAAAAGTAAATAAAATATAACTGTAGGCATGTTTCAACTAAATCAAGGATGACAATTTTGGTAAAATAAAATACCTCAATCCAAGCTTATAGGACACAGATACAAAAATGAGCAAAGAACTGCCTTGATTTAAGGACTTTTAAAAAGAAACTTCTGAACATTCTATCTCTTCAAGGGGGTGGTATTAAGTGACACCAATCTGCATATAATACTTCTGTTTTCTAAACTGATTGATACATAGTTTACATACATCGAATTGCACATTTCCTAAGTGTACAACCTGATAGATTTTTGACAAATACATTCACTTTCCCTACCAAGATATAGAGTATTTTCCAGAAAGTTCCATCATGACCCTTCCTAGCCAACCTCTACCTCTCTCCACTCTTGATGACATACCCAATACTTTATTTTTTATTATACTTTAAGTTCTAGGGTACATGTGCACAATGTGCAGGTTTGTTACATATGTATCCACGTGCCATGTTGGTGTGCTGCACCCATTAACTCGTCATTTACATTAGGTATATCTCTAAAGCTATCCCTCCCCGCTCCTACCACCCCACGACAGGCCCCAGTGTGTGATGTTCCCCACCCTGTGTCCAAGTGTTCTCATTGTTCAGTTCCCACCTATGAGTGAGAACATGTGGTGTTTGGTTTTCTGTCCTCGCAATAGTTTGCTAAGAATGATGGTTTCCAGCTTCATCCATGTCTCTATGAAGGACATGAACTCATCCTTTTTTATGGCTGCATAGTATTCCATGGTGTATATGTGCCACATTTTCTTAATCCTATCTATCACTGATGGACATTTGGGTTGGTTCCAAGTCTTTGCTATTGTGAATAGTGCCACAATAAACATACAACACACCCAATACTTTAAATTAATTTTACCTGTTGTAGAATTTCGTACACATGAATTTAGTATACATCCTTGTGTTTGGCTTTAATTCAGCACAAAGGCTTTCAGGCTTATGTATCTTGTTGCATGTACTAATGATTCATTACTTTTTTATTGTTGAGTCCATTATACAAACACACCAAAAATTGTTTACTCTCCTGTTTTCAGAAATTAGACTAGAATAGTTTGGTTTCCTCTGTATTTATCTTGCTTCAAGGTCATTGAGCTTTATGGCTCCATGGGCTAATATTTTTCATCAAAGTTGGAAAAAATTCAGCCATTATCTATTGATATCCTTTTTTCTGCCCAATCTCTCTCTACATTCCTTTTGTGACTCAATTACATGTATGTTAGGCTGCATGATAATGTACCACAGACCACCGAGACTATTTTAATTTTTTTCATTTTTCTCTTTGTGATTTTATTTGGATAGTTGCCATTGACCTATCTTCAAATTCAACGACCTGTTTTCTTCCACTGAATCTAATCTGCTGTGAAGCATATGAAGTCCCTTTTTTCTAGTCAGATGTTCTGTTTTTCAGTTCTAGGATCTCCATTTAGTTCTTTTTGTAGTTTCCATTTCTCTTTTGAGACTTCTCATCTGTTACTTATTAGGCCCACCTTTTTCTTTAAATCATGGAGCATATGTACAATAACTGTTTCAAAGTATTGATCTGTTAATTCCAGCTTTGGTATCATTTCTGGGTCTTTTTCTTATGTCTTAGCTTTTATTCTTTTTCTTTTTAACTGTGAGCTTAATATGGGCCAAGCAGAAATAACAAGCTAATCAGCTGTAGTCCTGGCCTCACAAAGATCACTTTCCAGAAGAGACAGACAATAGTCCAAGGATAATACAAATACATGTTTTTAATAGTAAGCAAAAATACAAGGTGCTATGAGTGTGTAGAATAGGAGGACCTGACAGAACTTAAGATTGGGACTCAGTCAGGGAAGATTTCCCTAAGTAAGTGACTTTAGAGCTCAGATTTGAAATAAGTAGCTGGTACTAGGCAGAAAAAACGAGGAGATGGGGTGAAAGAGTTACTAGAGTGAGAAAAATCATTATATGATTGAGAAATTAAAAGAAGGTCAGTATGTCTTGCTTCAGTAGTAAGGTGTGTTCATAGACAAGAACCAGATCATATAGGATTTTGTAGGGTATGTCAAGGTCTTTAGTCTGTCTCAGAAGCAACGGAAAAGCATTCTAAGTTTTTCATTTACTGTGGGATCAGAGCAATTTAGCCTTTCTGTGCCTCAGTTTCTTCTTTTTTTTTAACTTTTAGGTTCAGGGATACATGTGCAGGTTTGTTATACAGGTTAAATTGTGTGTCATAGCGCTTTGGTGTACAGATTATTTCATTGTTTATTGTGTAAGAAATTAGTCCAACCTCATTCTTTCATATGCAGATATATAGTTGCCCCATACCATTTGTTGAGAAGACTATCCTTTCTCCACTGAATTTTCTTGGCAAAAGCCAACTGACCATAAGTAAGGGTTGATTCCTTGATTCTAAATTCTATTCTATTGATCTATATTTCTATCCATATATCAGTACCACAATGTTTTTGTTTTCATTTTGAGACAGTCTCGCCCTGTCACCCAGGCTGAAGTGCAATGGCACAATCTCGGCTCACTGCAATCTCTGCCTCGTGGGTTCAAGCGATTCTCATGCCTCAGACTCTGGAGTAGCTGGGACTACAGGCATGCACCACCATGCCTGGCTAATTTTTGTATTTTTAGTGGAGGTGGGGTTTTACCATGTCGGTCAGGCTGGTCTTGAACTCCTGGCCTCAACTGATCCACCCACTTTGGCCTCCCAAAGTGCTGGGATTACAGGCCTGAGCCACCATGCCCCACCAGTACCATAATGTTTTGATAATGGTGGCTTCTGTAGTAGATTTTGAAGCTGGGAGTGTGAATTCTCTAATTTTGTTCTTTTTCAAGTTTATTTTGGCTATTGCAGGTTACTTGCATTTCCATCTAGATTTGAGAATCAGCTTGACAATTTTTTCAAAACAAAACAAAACAAAACTCAGCTGCGATTCCGATAGGTTTTGTGTTGAATTATGTAGGACGATTTGGAGAATATTGCTATCTTAACAATATTAAGACTTCTGATCCATAACATAGGAATTCTTTCCATTTTTTATGTCTTCTTTAATTTCTTTCTACAATGTTTTAGTTTTCAGTATGCAACACTAGCTTAGTCAGCCAAATTTATTCCCAAGTATTTTATTATTTTTAATGCTATTGTAAATGGAATTGTTCTATCAGTTTCATTTTTAAATTGTTCACAGTAATGTATACAAATGTAGCTGGTTTTTGCTTATGATCTTGTATCCTGCAACTTTGCTAAACTCTTAGTTTCAATAGTTTTGTAATATATTCTCTAATATTTTCTATACATATGACATCATCTGCAAATAGAGATAACTTTATTTCTTCATTTCCAGTATGGAAACTTTAAATCTAATTTTTCTTGCCTAATTTCCCTCGAACCTCCAGTACTATGTTATGTTAAGTGTACCAATATACATGTAATGGGAACACCAAAAGAAAAGAAGGGAGAAAAGGAGCAGAAAAGATATTTAAGGTAATAATGGCTTAATATTTTTTCAAGAGTAATCCTAGGTATACATTTTTCAGGCTCTGTTCCAAATAATATCAGTCCCCTTAGAGAGAACTGAACAGATCTCTGTTCTTACGACCTATCTTTCTCCAGTGCCACTGCACTGGAACTGGGATCGCGGGTGGCAGTTGCTTCTCTCAGTTATAGCTTCGCTCTGTGGCTGGGGTCCTGGGCATGGACAGTAACCCCTGATCATCTGGGCTTGCCTCTTCTGGTTTGGATTCTCCCTGCTACACGTAAGCTGAGTTGGGGAAATTTGGGGCCAGTATTTTCAGCCTGCTGTGCCTGGGATAGAGTTTCTACCCTATGAGTTGGGGCTAGGTGGAGAAAGGGAGTTCCAGTCTTCTCAGCCACGTTTTCCTGGAGAGGAACTTCAGCAACACAAGTGAGGAGTCATGAAACGTGTCGGCAGCCTGCCTGGGTAAAACCATAATCCTAGACTGGGAACTTGGAAAAAGAGAGTCCCATTTTCTTGGCTCTTGGCTGCACCCATCACACTGAGCTGGGGGTAGGGGCCATCTGTTAAGCTTCTCACATTGCCAGTCCGGAAACCCCACCTCTCCACATCCTTTTATTTATTTACTTATTTTGAGACAGGGTTTTGCTCTGACACTCAGGCTAGAGTGCAGTAGTATGAACTTAGTTCACTGCAGCCTTGACCTCCCGGGCTCAAAGGATCCTCTCACTTCAGCATCCCCAGCAGCTGGAAATACAAGGTGTACACCACCACACCCAGCTATTTCTTTTTCTTTGTAGAGATGGGGTTTTGCCACATTGCCCAGGCTGGTCTTGAACTCCTGGGCTCAAGCAACCTGCCCGCCTCCGCCTCCCAAAGTGCTGGGATTACAGGTTTGAGCCGCTGTGCCGGCCTCCATATCATTATTACAACCAAACAAATAGAACAGCAATAGATATTCTATTTGGATTGCAAATCATTCATATTTTTTCTGTTTTTTAAAATTCCTTTATACTTTATGTCTGGTCTTTGTTCACAGTATCTGTGTCCGATGTACTTTTAGAAAAAATAGAATAATTTAAATTCGATTTGATTTTAAATCCTAAATATCTGAATGTGTTCCCACAAAACAAAGTTGAATATTTCTTTATCAGTTTAAACAAGATTTTTGACTCTAGCAACTGAAACTAATTCTTGTTAACAGCCACTTAGGAAACACCTAAATATAAAGCTGTGATGGTTAATTTTATGTGTCAATTTGGTTGGACTGTGATGTCCAAATGTGTGATCAAATATTAGTCTAGATGTTTCTGCAAAGGTATTTTTTGATTGACATTTGTCTTAGTCCATCTGTATTGCTATAACGAAATACCTACGACTGGGTAATTTATAAATATTATAAATTTATTTGTGTCTTAGTCCATCTGTATTGCTATAACGAAATACCTATGACTGGGTAATTTATAAATAATATAAATTTGTTTGTCATAGTTATAGAGTCAGAGAAGTTCAAGATCAAAGCACTGGGAGGTTCAGTGTCTGGTGAGGGCCCCATTCCCTGCTTCCAAAATGATGCCTTGTTGCTGCATCCTCCAGAGGAGACCGATGCTGTGTGTCTCCAGAGGGGACGGATGCTGTGTGTCTCCAGAGGGGACGGATGCTGTGTGTCTCCAGAGGGGACGGATGCTGTGTGTCTCCAGAGGGGACGGATGCTGTGTGTCTCCAGAGGGGGCTAATGCTGTGTGTCTCCAGAGGGGACTAATGCTGTGTGTTCATATGGCAGAAGGCAGAAGGGCAAAAAGGGCCTCAGCCTGTTCCTCCATCCCTTTTATAAGGCACTAATCCATTCACGAGGGCAGAGCTCTCATGTCTTAATTACTCCCCAAAGGTCCCCACCTCTTAATATCAGCACAATGGGATTAATTTTCAACATGGATTTTGGGGGACACATTGAAACATTTAAATAAGCAAACTTTGAGTAAAACAGATTCGCCTTTTTAATGCTGGTGGGTCAAATCCAATCAATCAATTGAATCCCTTAAGAGAAACAGATTGAGATCCCCCAAAGAAGAAAAATTCTGCCTCCAGACAGCTTTTCGACTTAAGACTGAAACATCAACTCTGCGCTGGGTCTCCAGGCTGCTGACCTCTCCTGCAAATTTTGGACTTATCCCACAATCACATGATCCAATTCCTTAAAATTTATCTCTCTCTTTCTACACACGCAAACACACACATCTTATTGGTTCTGTTACTCTGGAGAATCCAGATTAATACAGAAGCCCTATTGGGAATTTTCAGCCAAACAAACTAATTCTAAATAATTCTTAGGAATTCCATTTCAAGAGATCTTGTCGTGTTAAATTTCTATTTTAAAGGAGAAATACAAAAGATTTCAAACTTACAAAAAAGTGAAGAGAACAATATAACCTAAGCTCAGATATCTTAACATATACTAACACATTGACAGGGTCTTTGTAGCAGATCTCTTTTGAGTTTTTAAAAAGATCCCTCACCTTGTGGTTGGGCACCTGAAACTACAGACTTTTAAGACAGAGTATGCTGAGACTAAACCCGCAGCCAGAGAAGAGCCTAATGATTTGCCAATAGATAAATAAGCCGTAACCAGATAAATGAAGATGGAGTGTTCTTTCATGCCACCTTCTCTTACCTAAAGAAGAGACCCACCTGCTTCTAATCATAATCCTTGAGGGAGTTCACAGGGGATGACCAATCAACCAGTGGTTATGTATGTTCTTTGTGGACTGTCTGCTGAAGTTTCATACTTCTGGTGTGTAAGGTAAAAAATCTGCTATTTTTATGACACCCAGAATGTGGATTCCTTGGTGAGGTAGCAGGAATATATCGTATTTAGATACAAAATTAAAGAGAAAGAAATGTTTCAAATGCTCAAAGTAGTAAAAATGAAATATGGTATGGTAATGTTTTTCATCTACACACAATTCTTCCTTTGTACAGTTGTTTCATGACTCAGGACATGATGGCTTACAGCATGATTTTCACATATATTCCTACATCTGAGTCTCACAGCCCCTGAGGTATGTAGAGAAGATGGAGTATCACTTTTGGGGAGGTAGTGACTACCACTCTACTAGCAGGTGACCATCAGGGACTGATATCTAGAGTTTCTGACTCTTCCTACCCCATGTATGATTCCCACCCACATTGCACCATGAGTAGAGATTAGAGTACTCGATTCAACCAGAAATTTAACATGATAATTAAATATATATTGAGCAAAAGTTGAAGCAAAATATTTTCTAGAAAACTCCGAGGCCTGATTCTGTTATAGTTATAACCACTGACATGGAGTAGAGATGGTCAATATTGTACAGTACCTGAAGAAGCAAGTCCCCTTCAGAAAACAAATCTACATTGACTTGTGGAAAGGTCTGTTCACTTCTTCCTGGGTTCATGGGTGGGTCAGCTGAGCAGCCTGCATTGTTGTCCTTTAGGGTTGCTGAGAAAGAAAAATGGTGTTATTGTGAACATGTGCCATCCCACAGGGATGAAAAGGAGAATCCAGGTGACCCTGGTTCTCAGTTTCAGGATAGCCAGTGTCACTCTGTATACTGGCACCTTGAGTTCTTCCAAGGTTCCAGTAAGAGCAGTCACATCTGATTGAACACTTACCTCCTCTAGCTGGGAAAAGAGCCCCATTTTAACTTTTGTCTGAGCTGTTCTTACTGTGGCTTCTCTACAGGCAAAATATTAATTCAGTTCAAATTCTGCTTCCTCTGAGGTGCCCTTGCTATTTCTCCTGAGGAAAATTTGCTGCACCTCCTTCGACTCCCTTAGCATTAAAGTCACTGCCATTAACATTGACTTGGTGTATGATGATTTCATTTTTGCCTTATCTATCAGATCAGGTGTAAGTGAATGACATGACCTGTTACAAAAAAATTGCAGATCCAGACCCTTACCTGTTTCACCACCTCTACCACTACCATCCTGGTCTGAGACATTATCAACTCTTGCTGACCTTCCTACTTCGACTTCTGCCCCGTGTAATCAATTCCCTGAACAGAAGTGTGCATGACATTTCTGAAAAATTATATAACATATAATATCACCCTTCTGCTCCAAAGGCCTCATATATGCACAAAACCCTCCAATGGCCTCATATACACAAAAATCTTATGTCCTGACCATGACCATTAGTTAAGATTCACTTTTTTGTAACTAAAATTCCCCAAATAACAATAGCTTACAAGATAAAAGCATATCTCATGCTCATACTGTATCAGAATAGTGCAGTCGGAGATGTGTGCAGCCCTGTCCCATGAGGCTCCATGGGACCAGCTCCTTGGAGCTCATCCTCTGCCTTCCTGGACTCAGCCTCAAGGCCTCACCCCTTCTGCTCCCAGGAGGAGGGATCTGCAGAAGAAAGGGTGGCACCATCTCTCTCAAGGAAGCTGCCCCCTGACTCCTTTGCCAATAGCCTATTGGTCAGAACCCCGTCACATGACCACACTGGTGCAAGGGAGCCTGGGAAGCTGGCCTTTTCCTGATGCCATGTTTTCTCCTGAAACTGCCCAGCTCCCACCAACCTGGCCATGCCAGTCACACAGCCTCCTTCTGACTCCTAGCTGTTCCCAGAAAAGACAGGCCCTTCCTGTTCTTTGCTAGGAGCTTTGCAGGTGCTGTTTTCTCTTCCTGGAAGTCCCCTCTTGCCATTTTTCACGTGGCTTCTCTGTCACTTCCTTGTTGCTCAGATACCTTCAGAATGGCCTCATCAGCAGTGTCTGCTGTTCTCGCCTCTTGCCCTATTTCCCCCCCTCAGAGGCTTTACCCTGTTTTATATTGTACACTTGTCTCCTGACACAGGGGCTGTGTCTTCCACTTGGATGTAACTGTTGTGCCGATAAGGTTTTGTTCCCTCCTGTGTCTCCAGCACCTGAAGCAAAGTCAAAGGCCCAGGGGTATTCAGCAAGGGCAGCGATGCAGATAGGCAGGTGCGCCTGCTGGACCTTCCTCCAGGTGCTGCCTGGGGCCGGGGGCATCATCACATTTGTATACAAGCAAGTCAACAGGGCTTTGGTTGTGGGGTCACAGACAAAGGACTAACAAGGGAAGGAGGAGCTTATGGAACAAGGTACAGGGCCCTGGGTCCCTAAGTAAGCATCCAGTTTTTCCTCTGTCCTCATCCTCTGTTCCATAATCCAAGGAATTCCAAACTCTATTTCTGTACAAATGAAGGGAATGTGGCCCCCACAGGTGCTCACAGCTCTTTTCTATATACAAATCATCCCTAGAGGGTTCTGGCCTGAAAAATAAGCCAAGAGGTCTTTGCCATTTCACATTTCTAAATGTTACTTTAAGCATGAATAAGTTTGTACAAGTCTGAGGAATATTTAGCTGGGTAAGCAAAATTTATCACTAGTAAAGAAACAAGCTGGGTGTGGTGGCTCAGGCCTGTAATCCCAGCACTTTGGGAGGCTGAGGTGGGTGGATCACGAGGTCAGGAGATCAAGACCATCCTGGCTAACACGGTGAAACCCCGTCTCTACTGAAAATACAAAAAAATTAGGCGGGCGAGGTGGCGTGCGCCCATAGTCCCAGCTACTCGGGAGGCTGAGGCAGGAGAATGGCAGGAACCCGGGAGGCGGAGCTTGTAGTGAGCCAAGATTGCACCACTGCACTCCAGCCTGGGCGACAAAGTGAGACTCTGTCTCAAAAAAAAAAAAAGAAAAAGAAATAATTGTATAGTTTGCTTGACAGTGAATGACATTCCAGTGCATACTCAGGAAATACTTCCCCACAAAATTATCAGCGATATTGGTGGATCTATTTTCTTCTAAGTTGAAGATTAAAAAACAAGAAAGAAAGCTCATCTAAAAAATCCTATTTAACCGTAATGTGCATAACTTGGGGATAAGATGTTCAGCATGAAAAACAAGCCCGGATAGCAGACATTTTCATCTAATCAAGTCCTCAGTTACACAGAAAACAGCACCATTAACTGCATCGCAAAAGTCATTAGGGAAGGCTCGTGGCAAAGACGCACTAGTAAGCTTGTTAAAAGTCATTGGAAACAGTGGCTTTCTGGTTATCACAGGGACTCGGCAGTGAAGTGCGAAGCATGGCCATCGGGGCATCATCCTCCCTGTCACAGGCGGGACCAAGGGGACCGGGTGAGTACTGCTTTCTAACCTTCTTATGATTGGCTGTCTGATTCCCTAAATTCTGAAGGAATTTTTGTAATAAAGGGATTTAAGGCTCAAAATACCCACTAATTCAGGCATCATTTTATTATCATTTTGTGTATAGCATGTATTACCCCTTCTAATACAAGCTTCCCAAAAGAGGAAAAGAACAGGTTACCCATGGGAAAACTCCTCTCTACCCTTGTTTTTCCTTTGTTATTCACTTTTGGTCTCTCTCAGCCAAAAAATGGTCAGATTTCTCTTTGTCCATAAACTTAACGCTTTGCCAAATGATTTTTTTTTTACCTCCTAAACTTCATGAAGGAAAAGCATTTGAAATTTGACAAATAGACAAACTACTATTTGTTTTCCGGCTTTTCATTAAGCTGATATTTCACTCAGGCCCCCAAATATTTTCTTCACATTCCACTTAAATGCTAGGGGAGGCCAGGCGCAGTGGCTCACGCCTGTGATCCCGCACTTTGGGAGGCCGAGGCGGGTGGATCACGAGGTCAGGAGTTCGAGACCAGCCTGGCCAACAGGGTGAAACCTTGTCTCTACTAAAAATACAAAAATTAGCCAGGCGTGGTGGCACGCGCCTGTAATCCCAGCTAATCAGGAGGCTGAGTCAGGAGAACGCTTGAACCTGGGAGGTGGAGATTGCAGTGAGCCAAGGTCGCGCCACTGCCCTCCAGCCTGGGCGACAGAGCAAGACTCTGTCTCAAAAAACAAAACAAAAACAAAAAATGCTAGGGGTAAAGTCCCCTACAAGAGCAGAACTCCCCTGAAGGATGCTTCAAGCCTGTTTTCCTCTTTTAAGAAGTGGGCAACTGAACTGTGTATCCGTAATAATGTATAACTCTCCATAAGTCCTAGATAAGAAAAAAGATCCAAAGATCAAAGTGAAATAAGCAAAACAGATATTTAATCTTGTTGACAAAGTTCTATTTAAGAAAAGTAGTGTATGGCCACACAAAAAAATACTTAGTAAGTGATCCGTCTCTGATTCTTAGAAAGAAATCCAAGGGGTATTGGAGCTGCTTATGCTTGTCCAAGCCAACATCAAAGACAAAACAGCTGAGAGAAACTGCTGAGGCTGGCTTGAAATCAGGTAAGAGTCATTTGTGCAAAGAAGTCTGAGTCATTTTACTGTTTAGTAACTTACAACAAACAAGCACCCTGCTCTGTCATCACAGAGCCCAGTGGAAACCGGGAGCATTTCCACTTCCATGTCCTGGAGTGGCCCTGGGTCAGCTGCGGCTGGAGCCCTGGCTGGTTGTCAGGGAAGAAAAAAGGTGGGAGAAAGGGGAGGAGGGGGCTGGGGAAGGAATTCAATCCAAGATCAGCCTCACACTGATATTCTGAGAAACAGGACCTTCCTCTCCTCAGATCCAGAACCATCACCCCAACGGCAACGTTCCACCTCTTCTTAGGCTCCTGTGCTTCCTTTGCCACACTGAGCATTCATGTGCTCATTCACCGGACAGGGCAGCCCAGCTGTTCATCCACTGCAGTTCCCAAAGGAATAGGAGCAGTGGGTTCCTGTTCAGCTGGTGGTCTCTGTCTTTGGTGACAAGATGTGACAATGTGTTTTTCCCCCCCGCCATCGCTCTAAAAGAATCTCCTCATCTACATATTCTACAAGATAACGAGGCCCAGGAAGCCTGAGACCCAAGTGATGGACCATCCAGACTCCTCCAGCTCAAGCTCATGGCTTCAAACTACCTCATTCCAAACGGAAAGAGGCTCCGCCCAGTGCAGCAGGTGCAGGTTCGGTCCTGGCTCGGTCTCACTGCTGTTCCCCTTTCAGAGAGCCCTTGACTCCACTGAACCTCTTTTATCTTGTCTATGCTGGGAGATGATGAAAACTCACTGAGTGAAATAACTGAATAAAAAGTCTGGCTCATAGAAAATGTTCAATAGACGGCAACTCTTTCTCACGAAGAGTAAATTACGTTGGTGTAAACGTTAATTAATGCCGGCTAGGCGAGGCGGGCGGATCATGAAGTCAGGAGATTGAGACCATCCTGGCTAACACGGTCAAACCCCGTCTCTACTAAAAATACAAAAAAAAAAAAAAAAAAAAAAAAAAACAGCCGGTCGTGGTAGTGGGTACCTGTAGTCCCAGCTACTCTGGAGGCTGAGGCAGGAGAATGGCATGAACCCGGGAGGCGGAGCTTGCAGTGAGCCGAGGTCATGCCACTCACTCCAGCCTGGGCGACAGAGTGAGACTCTGTCTCAAAAAATATATATACATATATTATGTAATGCCAAGTTACAAAGAAAGGGGGCAATGGGATCACCAGACTATGGTGAGTATAGGTCAGATGAACATGGGTTAACAATTTAGTTTTAGTTTTTTTTTTTTTTTTTTTTTTTTGACCATTCTGTCACTCAGGCTGGAGTGCAGTGGTGCAATCATGGCTCACTGCAGCCTCTATCTCTTGGGCTCGAGTGATCCTCACACCTCAGCCTCCCCAGTAGCTGGGACTACAGGCGTGTGCCACCACACCTGGCTAATGCGTTTGTATTTTTTGTAGAGATGGGATTTTGCCACATTGCCCAGGCTGGTCTTGAACTCCTAGGCTCAAGTGATCCTTCCGCCTTGGCCTCTCAGAGTGCTGGGGTCATAGGTGTGAGCCACTGCGCCTAGCCAGCAATTTAGTTATGAAGCTGTTGACGCACGGCCCCTGTCTTGCTTGCTGTAAGTGGGTGGGGGCAGGGAGATGCTCCCCAGAAGCAGCTGCACGTATCTGTCCCATTTACTGACCCTCTGGGGCCTAGATAGGAAAATGGCACTAGGAGAGGTGACTTCGAGGGTTGGGGAGAAGGATCCTGTTGACACGCACATGGCCGGAACATACAAAATCAGAAGATGCTGGAGAATATTCCCACGGCATACACAGATCTTGGTTCAAGGCCCATTTAGGTCAACTTTACACACAGAAAGACCCCGTTTGTTTCAGTGATTTCCAGTTACAGTGGGTCAGAAGAAGCAATGCACAGGTAACGGGGAGCAGCAGGGGCAGGGATGAGGGTGGCCACCTGGTCTGTTCACTGTTTGGGCCTGACTCACTAAGACAGATTATTCCAGCATGTTCTGTTTAAGGATGCAAAGCCTTTACATGACATATTAGAAGAATGTCCCCTTAGAAATGATCAAACACTTAAGTTCACATGTAGAGAGTGATAAGCCATAGATTTAGGTTTTCCTAAATATAGTTTCTCCCACTCCAGACCCTAAATATCTACTACATGCACATCTCCAGGAACAAATTAGGCACCACCTGAGGGATACGGAAAAGCAGGCACCAGTGTGCGTGTCCCAGTGGGGGCAGGAGGCCACAGCAGCCTTGGACTGCGTGACCACGGGCTGAGCAAGAGGAACTGAGCCTGACATGTTTGGCTCCAAAAAGGCGAGTTCTTCAGAGTGAACAAACCATGTCCAGTCTGTCCTCTGATGCCTTTGTCGCTCAATCCGCAGGTCTGCATGTTTCTGCTCTCACGTTTCTACTCTTAGTGAGGCCACCTGAAGAGACCCTCATCTCCACCCACCTCCAACTTGTTAGCTTTGCTCCTCACAGGAAGAAATAACCCAGCAGCCCAGAGAATGCCAGCACTCGAGGGAGGTGGCCAGGAGCAGCGACCTGGCTAGTGGGGAGGCTGAGACTGGCAGTTAGCAAATGGCATTTCAGGACACAGTGCATCTCCTGGCACCCGCTGGCTCTGCTCTGCAGGAAAGCCATTTGCCCTGTGTCTCAGTGTCAGTGTGCAGATGCTCTCAACTTCTTAGAAGGATATCACTGTTCCTTTTGCTGACAATAATACTAACTGCCCTGCTGTGGATCTACTTCCTCTCAGGGAAAGCTCGCCTCCCTTGCCGCCCCTCAGCAGCTGTGCTCTGTGCTCAGGGCAGAGCCCGGCCCCCTTGAGCTCGAAGGCGCAGGCAAAGCTCAGAAAAGGTGAAGGCGGTGGGGGATTTGCTGATGAGGGTCCTAGGTTCAGGGGCTGGGGAAACTGGGAGTGGGAACTGGGATGGGGATGCTAAGAGCCCTGTGGTGAGGGGTGGCAGGGGTCCTGGGTCTGGCTGTCAGTGGAGAAGAAGCCATGAGTGTGGGAGGGAAGGAGGGGTGGGGTCTCAGGCGAGCAACATACTGAGTCCGACACACACCTGCGGACAGAGGCCTGGGGTCCTGCCAAGGGCTAGGATGGGGTTGGGGATGTGAGGTGGGTCCCTCCTGACTTTGCCCCGACTGAGGGGTCCAGGCTGGCAGGGCCTCGACGTTCTCTGGGCTCTTTAACGTTGATGCAGGGAGACAGAGGCAGGAGCCCAGACAGCCTTTTGCCTGGAGAGACCCAAATGAGGTGCCTTCTCTGCAGCCACTCTCCTGACACAGCGGGATTCTCCAGAAATGCCCCCAATATATATTTAACTGTATGTCTATGTGATTTAACCATTGACTTGCAAAATTCCTGAAAATATAACAGTTGATTCTAGAGAGCTGGTTCAAGCCAGTTGCAGCACACCACCGCCCCGCAGCCACAGCCAATCCCTGCTCCAGCCCCCACGTCTGCGCTGAATAAACAAAGACTGCAGCCCTGGGTGTAAATGGGAAAAAGCCTCAGCCAGTGGCGGCTGTGCCCTCCAGACACACTGAATTTTGCACACAGGTTCTCTATCTCCTACCTGCCTAAGATGGACTCTGTGATGGAAGCTTGGCCGTGGTGGCTGGATGGCTCCCAGTCACCCTCTTTTGCTCCTATTGTAGAGATACTGCGTTTTCTCATACGTGGTTATGGATACACTCCTGCTTCTCGCCACACCCCACACATCATTCTTGCAGATATTAACCACCTCAGGGTGGCCAGGCCTTTGATTATAAGCTTCCCACAGGTCAGGTGAGAACTTCACCAAGAGAGGAAGGAGGTACGGAAGCTCTAACTGCAGATCCGTGGGTGAAATTTCACGTCCTCCCTCCCTTGAACCTTCGAGAAGTTCAGGACTTTAAAAATGAACGCACAGTGCTGTGGACTGAAATCTGTGCCCACCTCATGATCACATGCTGATGCCCTAATGCTCAAGGTAACGGTGTCAGGAGGTGGGGCCTTAGGGAGGTAATCAGATCATGAGGGTGGAGCTTCATGAACGGGATTAGGGCCCTTGGAAGAAGAGACATGAGAGAAATGAACTCTGCTGTGTGAGGACAGAACAAGAAGGCGGCCAGTCCATGAAGACAGCCCTCACCAGGAGCTGAACCCGTTGGCACCTTTATCGGAGACTTCTGGCCTCCAGAACTATGAGAAATAAATTTCTGTTGTCCACTCCCCCCAGGTCTGTGGGATTTCTGTTATAGCAGCCAGAGCTGACTAAAACACACCTCAGTTCTTCCAGTGGTTATTCTGTGCTTCTCAAGTTCCAGGCACTGAACTGGGGTTTCCAAGATGAACAAGCCACACCCCTTCCCTTGAGGAACGTGCTGCCTGGACCAGCATCCACACTTGCAGCATCTGTGGGTCACATGTGGACTCCAGCTCACGGTAAATTAAAAACAAATCAAAGACTCATCACAATTTAAAACAATGCAAATTAAATGTGATTTAAAATAATAGCTTTATACAAATGAAGGGGTGATACTGTTTACAAACTTTCACCACTATGACAATGATCCGATGAGGCATTTTTTCTTACTCTTTATTTTTATTACTTTAGAATATTCAGTACATTAGAAATGGCAGCAAGTGTTCGGTGGTACTACCAGATACTTTAGATATTCAGCTTAAATGTGTGCTCAGAAAGGATAGAGAGCTTTCTCTGTACGGACTGTTTTCAGAACTCCACCAGCGGCTACAACTGGCCTGAGAGCTGGGACGCTGGACCTTCCAGCCCAGGAGTCAGGGATGCAGGGGTTCCTACAACACTCAGTTCTGCTTGATTCAGCAAAGGATTTCTTCTTGTCCTCTTAAAGAATTTCGGTGTGGTCTGCAAAATAGGCCTAATAATAATTTTCAGTTCTGTCTTGGCCACTGAAGAAAATCAATAAATTATAAAGAGTCAGGAAAAACACGAACGTCCAGTGACCATACCGGTTGTGTCACAACGTGGATTTAAGGAATCTTGGAACTGTAGCCTCCACCTTGCGAGTCTTCAGAGTTACTTACGGACTCACTGAGATGCAATGAGGAAGCTGCCTGGCATCACGGAACAGTCTGTACGAATGATGCCAGTGTCAGAGGCAATGTTTTAAAATCTTTCCCATTTTAGAAGCCCATGTGAGTCAGCAGCACTGCAGTGACCTCCAGCTTCCAGCCTGTGAGGTTTACTCCCTGGATGTACGTGTCCAGTTGGCGCTGGATACATCATATTATCATGATTATCTCTGAGTGACTGGGTTATAGGTGAGTTCTTAATGTTTGTTTTTTCTTTTGTCTTTTTATACATTCTGAGATTTCAGCATTAAACCTGCATTGCTCTGTAAATGCAGGAACCCCACACTAAGGAAAAGAGAGCGTGGCCCACGGGCAGACGTTGCTGGACTTCCTTCCCATCCTCTCCAGCAGCCCACCCCTCCTCTGCCATGCAGTGGCTGTGCTGGATGCGCACGACCAGGCCCCTTGCCAATGCCTGTCTGCAAATGGACACGTGGAAGGGAGCTGCTAGGAGCGTCCAGGAGGACATGGGCAAAGAGCAAAGGGGCCCTCACTGCCTCCAGTCCCCTGGTGCCTGCACACGACACCTGGAGTAGAAGCAGCCTCCTTGGGGACACACAAGGGGAGGAGCCAAAGCTGGCAGAGCAGATGGTGGGAAAGGACTCGGATCTCTGTGTCACCGTAGGCCGACTTCTGCCTCATCTTGGGAGATAATGCACTTTTATTGTGGTTGAAGTTGTTTCCTAAAATAAGACAGGCTTCTTTCCAGTACCTGGTAGCTGAGAGCTTCCCAACCGAGCTATACCAAGGAGAAATAGACTGAACCCCTGGGCTCATTTCTTCAGTGAGAAGCCACCTCAGCAGGTCTGGGTCAGCCCAGAGGAGGGGCCAGAGACACCCTCCTCTCCGTGGCACCATCCCCACCCTCCTGCTCCCCAGCCTGGACAATGCTGCCATTGTTGCAGTGTTGCATTGGAAGATTCTCGGCAACAAAATTTCAAATCTATGAAGAGAAAAATACTATCTAAAAAGTTATTTTTATACCCGAATCGGAAAAACTACATTTCTAAGACTCTCTTGGAACTAGATGGCTGTGTGATGCCAACTGACCAATGAGAGGTAAGCAGATGCCAACCAGGGGGCGCCAGAGATTGGCATCACCACTTATTTCTTGTTTCTTCCCTCCTGCCTGGAACACCAACCTAATGGCAGGGGCCACGAAGCCACCTGGCAACCAAGAGGGAAAGGCCAGGGACCTGCAGGCCTGGCCCTGGCACCCTTGAGTTGATGCCAGAGTTGATGCCAGGCTGCACCTGCCTCAAAAGAACTTGCATCAGTGTGCGGCAATGTGGTTACACAGCAGGGCCGGCCCCCTGACAGAGACAGCCAGTCAAGTCTAGAGAGACAAACTGGTCAAGAAGTACCTCCTGAAGAAAATATGGATTTATACTTGAATCTTCCATTCTAACTTTTAGTCAGTTTTTTTTTTTTTAAGTATGTTCCTGTTTAGAACATCAAAAATTCTAGAGAAAGAACAGAAACCTGTCCTCTGAATGCTGGGCAGGCAGGCAATCTTCTGAGATGGCCACAGGTTACCCTGCCCTGACAACATCGTCTTCATGTTCACTCCAGGCCTCCGGACACCACCTGGCAGAGCCCATATCACCTGCTAGTCCTGGCTTTTCCTTTGCTAAGTTGTGTTGTGATTTTGGATGCTAAATTTGACTGCACAGCTTTCTGTGCCAGATGGAGATGCACAGCATGACTGGAGGCTGCGGTCTAACCCAAGGGAGTTGTCCCAACAGAGCGAGTCTGTGGGTCTGGCACCCTCGTCCTTCGGGCTCAGCAGTGAATCAGAGCAGGTTCTGCCTGGCTGTAAGAGACAAGTGTTCCTCCCCTCGGGTAGGGCGCAGGCACGGTCAGCTCCCAAGAGTGAACTCAGCTGCCCTGACCTCTCTTCCCAGCACACAGGCAATCGGTCACTTGTCAGGCCTGCCCATCCCCCAGACCAACCTGGCCCCAGTGTGGGGCTGCACTCAGGGCTTGGGGGCAGTGTCAGCTGTAGCGCCAGGCACGGGTGCTGAGCCAGCCTAGGGTGAGGGGCTACCACCTGGAGGTAACCCCCAGCAGCAAATGCCCTCTCATCCACCTCAGTGCTTGGTCTGCCTGGTGGACTCCCTGCCTCACCTAGCACCACCTCTGATGGACAGAGGACGGCTAAGGCAGGTGCCAGCCCCTACTTCCAGCCTTTCTCCACTGTTCATGGGCACTGAATGGTCAGGACAGACAGACACCTGCCTTTACAGCTGCCTAGAAGGAAAAGCAGCGTCACACACAGACACTTTGGGCCAAGGAAAGCCAGGCCTGGCCACCTCCAGAGCCTAGCAGGAGCTGAATGGCCAGAGCCCCAAGGGGTGTCCTGGTGGTGGAGAGGAAGGCAGGGAGGGTGGTAGGGTACCCAGCGGGAGGTGCGGGGACAAGGACACGTGGGGAGCCTGAAGGGGATGAGTCCCCCTCTGCCCCCATAAGTTGGGCTCAGAGACCACCTGCACCCAGCCCCGTGAGAGCAGCTCGATGCTGCATGTCTCCCCTGAGTCAGGGGCTCACTGAGGAGGGATGAGGCCTCATCAGGAACACCAAGCCTGGTGCTCAGCGGTGGAATGAGAGAACCAGATCACTAAGAAGGATGGGCTGGGCCGGGCGCGGTGGCCCACGCCTGTAATCCCAGCACTTTGGGAGGCCAAGGCGGGTGGATCACAAGGTCAGGAGATTGAGACCATCCTGGCTAACACGGTGAAACCCCGTCTCTACTAAAAATATAAAAAATCAGCCGGGTGTGGTGGCGGCGCCTGTAGTCCCAGCTACTCAGGAGGCTGAGGCAGGAGAATGGCGTAAACCTGGGAGGTGGAGCTTGCGGTGAGCCGAGATGGTGCCACTGCACTCCAGCCTGGGCACAGAGCGAGACTCCGTCTCAAAAAAAAAAAAAAAAGAAAAAAGAAAAAAAAAAAGAAAAAAGAAAAAAAAAAGAAAAAGAAGGATGGGCTGTGACAGTAACCTCTCGGGGAGTGGAAGGGGAGGAGGCCAGCCTGTGACTTCCCTGCTCACAGCTGGAGGCTGGAGAATGTCCAGTCTTACTCCAGGAGAATCGGCTGGATCCACATCTAAATGTCTTCAACTTCTCTCCAGGGTGCTGACATCACTGCCCAGGTCATTAACAGATGGGCAGACGCCTGTCGCCTCATCCCTGAAGGCGCAGGACATCCACACGGCCAGCAGAGCTGACCAGGGCAGGCCCCCTGGCAACACCCTGGGCTTGTCTGGACTCTAATAAGCTTCTAAGGTCCCCTCCAAGGGTGTTAGAAGGGAAAAGACTTTGAATGTGCATTTTTAAAAATCGAGGTGAACTTCACATAAGAGTAACCATTTAAAAATAAGCAATTCAGTGGCATTAAGTACAGTCACCATGTTGTGCAACCACCACCTCGTTCTGGTTCCCAAACGCTGTCATCACCCCAAATAAAACCCACAACCTGGGCCACCACCTGGAGTGTGTTTGGTCCTCGGAGGACATTCCATATTGTTGTGGGGAATGATTAAATAATTGCTGCTTTTCTGCAGTTACCATTGTACTTCGAGCAAAAGTTTCGTAAGTTTCATGAGTTTTCAGACTATATTATCTGGGTTGACTGGATCCAATTTTAGTTTTTGAGTTTCTTTTTTGAACAGCTGCAACAATTTTAAAGATTAATATATCCTGACTTTTGTTCTTTATTAGAGGTCTTCCAAAGAACAAAGATACATGTATTTTAAAAATAGAATAAAATTTATCCTGTCTTACAGTGATCATGTGAGTCCATTTAACCCATATATAAATCTAAGATACATTCATCTTAGTGATTTTATTTAGTTTTTTAAATCTTGGAACATTTTGCTATTTTATCATCCTAAAAACATTTCAAAGTTCATCATTAAGGATTCTCAGCTTTGCCACGAAGACTAAAATAATATGAAAACAGAAGGATGATGGAACACAGAGAAAGATAACGTGATGCAGAAATCAGCATTCTTTGGTATTACCCTCCAGTTTTGTTGTTGCCAAAGTTCTATTCAAGAAGATGCATCTGAAGAAATGGAGATAGTGAGGGCTGTTTTGTCTTTAATTAAATACAGTGGGGGGTTCAGAAGTTTCCATCTTCTTTCCATAGTGGCAAAGAGAAGACAACTGACAGAGAAAGAGGTTTCACAATTTTAGATGAGTTGGAAGATAATTTCCCAGGGCGATCAGTGCTTTCCCCTGTGATAATGGAAATGGCTTCATATCTGCTGTCCCAGCCACATGTGGCTACTGAGCTCTGAAAATGTGGTTGGTGTGACCAAGAAGCTAAGATTTTAATTTTACTTAATTTTAATTGATATAAGTTTAAATTTAAATAACTATATATGGCTAATAGCTACCATACTGAATAGCAAAATTCTTGACTCTAATACTTAAAGTGAAAATGATCATATAAATGAAAGCTCAGCAGAGAAATGGAGCTATAAAAAGAACCAAAGAGAAATGTTTGATCTGCAAAATATAATACCGGAAATAAAAAATACATTTAATAGGCTTAACAGCAAAATGAACACTCGCAGAGAAAAGGACTGATAAGCTTAGAGACTGGTCAGTGGAAATTATCCAAAATGAAGCAGCAATGAGAAAACTGAGCAAAGAACCAACGGCCTGTGGCACAGCATCAAGCAGAGTCTAAAATACATGTAATTTGAGTTCTACACAGAGAGGAGAGAAAGAAGACTCAGAGAAAGTATTTGAAGAAATGATGGCCAAAACTTTATCAAATTTGATGAAAATGATGAATCCACATTTGTTCTTATTGGAGTAGAGCTGGGGAGGAGTTTATAAAAAGCTCCAGAGATGATGCTTACTTGGGAGATAACTTTTCTAAGTTGATGGTCTCATTATCAATCAACTTAGATATAAATTTAAATTTCCCCCAGATTTTCTCCCAAATTTCCAGCAATTCTAAAAAAGCTTTTTGAAAATAAAATAAATTTCATGAGAGGATTGTGACCATTTTTTAACCTTTTGTTCAAGCCCAGAGTCTGCCTCCCTTGTCCATCCTCCCAGGACATGTCTCTGAGCTACAAAGGGGACACATTCTCCCTCATGAGAGGTGACGCTGCAGGGAAGACAGGAGGCCACAGACTCACCCGTGTTCGTTCAGCGTCACTGAATACAAGTTCCACTTGCGGGAATGGGTTAGAACATCTGTCTTTAAGTAGCAACACAGTTAATGAGCAAGCAGGACAAGGAAGAATAGATTGTGCCCTCTGTGTAATAGAGAATTTTAGGAGGAAAAGTTTTCAAGAAAACAGGAAGAAATAATATCGTAGATCCTATGTTATATTCAGAGAAAGAGGACCTTTGTTCTGAACCAAAGTTCTATAAGGTAGAGGAACACTTGGATCCTCACAAGAAATGACAAAGCAAAGGGAGGCAGGAGCACTGTGGTCGCGTTAAGGACTCTCCCTGGAGAATAACAGAGCCAGGCAAGGGGACTGGTGCCATCTCTTTCCACGAGCAGCCTGGGACAGCAAGGAGCCAGGGTTTGCACCTCGGACAGGCACACTCCCAGGTGAGCACCTGGCTCACCTAATGCACCTGTGTCGAGCAGGTGCCTCTCGCCTCGGCCTGAGGTCTGAAGGCAATGGTGCAGCTTTCACCAGGACAAAGGGTTAACCCAAGTTACCCCTTTTCCTCTTGTGGCCACAGCCTCCACCAGGGTCCCAGCAGGTGCCGGGGGCCTCTCACCCTCGCTTTGTAACAGCAGCCACCACTTGCCTGCAAAGTAGTCCTTCACCTTCAGGTAGCCCACGATCAGCCTGAGGACGGACAGCTTGTCCAGCCGTGCACGCACGTCCTCGGGGAAGGGTAACAGGTTGGTGAGTCGGCTCAGCTCTTGATTCAGTCGGTCCCGGTGCCTTTTGGAAGGGTTGGTCTTGGCTCCCTCTGGAGGCAGTGGCTTAGGACTTGGGGGAGAGAGAAGAATGATCATGGCCCCACTTTCCACTGCCATTTCACTCCTGCATCACCCCAGGGGTTCCAACACCATGCCCTGCACTGTGCAGCCCAAATCCCTGGTGTTCAGAGGCAGAATCCCTCATCCTGTAGTCTCAGGTTCTGCTCATCCACGATGCCCCACCACTCCTCTGCCCTCACCCCTTTCCTCATCTGTTGGCTGGAGCCCCACTGGGCCCTGGGCACCTAGAAGGCTCCTTCACACCCAAGCACGAGGGTTAGACCTGGCAGCCCTCAAAGTATCAGGGCCGGCCCACTTTCCCTCCCATTTGCCCCTGGCCCAGTGCATTTGCATCCACATGTAATTTTTAAATGAGAAAATCTCTGTATCACAATTAACACTGACCAAACTGAAACTCCATTTAGGAAAGTATAATTTATTAGGAATTGAGCATATGCACACGCACACACAGAGAGATACTTAACATGTACCTATGTGTGTGCTTTCTCTTTTCTTCTCTGTGTATAAAACACACACACATGCTCATGGACACAGGGACATTATCTCTTTCCATACATACATACGTACGCACATGTAAATTCTCTGCGTGTCCATCCGTCTCTACAATCTTCCATCATCCACATGCAGGGAAGAATGATTCCTGGGAGGCTGTAGTCACCACTCATCCATCTTTATTCTTACAGGCTTCTCCTCTGGGTTTCACATTCAAAAGTTTCCACATTTCCCACAGATGAAACCAAAGTTTTCATGTGTAGCTTTGAAAGAATATCTGGAGGCTCTGTGTTCCCAGTGCCCCGACCCTCATCCCTCAAAGCCCAGCACTGGCCCACAGGACCGGGTCCACCAGCCATGATTTCAGCGACATTCATGAGCAGTTAGTTCACCCAAGTAGCACGACCGAAGCTATTTCTACTACCTCACCTCCAAAGCAAAACACAGTAGCACTCCCTAGAGGACAGAAGGAAGTTTAAAACATGATAAGCAGCAAAATATAATTTTTTAGAAGGCCAGGTCGGGTGTGGTGGTTCACGCCTGTGATCCCAGCACTTTGGGAGGTGGGAGTTCCAGGTCGGGTGTGGTGGTTCACGCCTGTGATCCCAGCACTTTGGGAGGTGGGAGTTCCAGGTCGGGTGTGGTGGTTCACGCCTGTGATCCCAGCACTTTGGGAGGTGGGAGTTCCAGGTCGGGTGTGGTGGTTCACGCCTGAGACCCCAGCACTTTGGGAGGTGGGAGTTCCAGGTTGGGTGTGGTGGCTCACGCCTGTAATCCCAGCACTTTGGGAGGCGGGTGATCACCTGAGGTCAGGAATTCAACACCAGCCTGACCAACATGCTGAACTCCCGTCTCTACTAAAGATACAAAAATTAGCTGGGTGTGGTGGCACATGCCTGTAACCCCAGCTACTCCGGAGGCTGAGGGAGGAGAATTGTCTGAGCCTGGGAGGCGGAGGTTGCAGGGAGCTGAGATCTCGCCACTGCACTTAAGCCTGGGTGACAGAGCAAGACTCCACCTCAAAAAACAACAACAACAACAACAACAACAACAACAAAAAAAAAAAAAACAGAGAAGAAAAGAAAAAAGAAGCCAAACATAAAAAATACAGATGCTGTACTCAACTTTATCTAGATAGATAGATAGTAAGCAAAAATACATAGTAAGCAAAAATAATGAATGAAGTTGTTTCTGCCTCATTTATAAAACACACTGACAGCCTCCGTCTCTCAGGGCTGCTACGCAAGAAACAGCCAGCCTGGCTCAGGACACAGCACCTCAATGCCTGTACACCTTTGGTAACAGGATGTTAAAATAGGGGTCTCCAACTGAGCTGACAAAACTCCTGGGTATGAGTGTAACAAAAGGAATTTCAAGAACCAATTTGGCAACTCTAGACCCCATACTCAGGAGGATAGAAAAAGGGGTGGGAAAGGATTTTGTGAAGAAATTTCCTTGGAAAAGAGC